TGGTTTTCATTGACAAAACCAACAAGTGGTTCCATGCTAGAAAAGTTCTTTCACGTGGCTTTCTACACGTGATATCAATCATACAAGATGGTGGTTCCACAAGTGATCCTCAACTTTAAGTGATCATCAAGTGAAGAAAGTTCCCTCATACACAAGAGCTCAAGATTATTAAGTGATATGACCCATGCTTGGACATAGGGGGAGGAGCCCCACTACAATTGGTATCAAGGTCACAAGATCCTACACGTGGTGTCATTCCAACAATTAAGTGGTGTCCATAAAAAATGCAAGATTCAAGTGTCAACCATCTACCCCAATGCAACCTTTTGTATCAAAAGAGACATACCTTTTATGGAAATTGATAACAATGGGGAGAGATTGAGACAAAGATATTACAAATGGGGATTTGGACATGGACAATGGACAAAGAGGGAGCAACATTGAGGAATTGAGAAGGATCAAAATTCTTGGACAAGAGAAGTACACAAGTAGGGGGAGCAAGCTCATGAACTTTGATTGGTTGCATTTGATATGTGCATATTCATGTGCTTCCTTGCATTGCATAAGTTTTTAAATTTGATATGCATGCTTGTTTTATAGAACTTGGTTGATGACTTGGTAACTAGCATGCATAGGATGATAGCTAGACTTGTTACTACGCGTGGTACTAGAACCTTGCTTATAATGTTGATCTCACGGGGTTTCTAGTATTTTTGTTATCTAGCTACTCATGGTGCTAAGGATGGTGTTAAAAGTGCAACTCCGATTGGTATCAACGCTTCAAAGGTTAATTCTTTACACCTTAGCATCATTGGTAGTAATTACTCTCCCATAATTCCAATCTATACATATGTGCAACCTTTAAACCAAACACACTAGCACATATGTAGGGGAGCTAATACTACCAATTCGGGTTTGTGGTACTTGTCCAAAATCATTTACACATACTAAAATTGCTTGGGCAAGCAACATGAATCCAAAATAGCTTAATTTTCATATCTTTATAGAAGTTGTCATCAATTACCAAAAAGGGGGAAATTAAAAGATCCTTGTTTGGTTTTGGTAATTGAGTGACAACCTAGGTGGACTAATTGTGTTTAATGTGAGATACACAGGTAATTAGTCCACAGGTACATGTGTGTGAGCAACATATGCCATGGAGGTGAAATGGCTTGGACTTGTTGCAAAGCTTACACATGTGATAATGAAGGAGCTCATTGCATATGAGATATGACATTGAGTCATGTGACTAAGGTGGAGAAGATCAAGACAAGACTTGGCTTGATGGACCTGGTTGCAAGTGTGAAGGACAAGTTGAGTGATGACTTGGCACCGATGGACCGAAGCAACGGTAAAGAGCAAATGAAGTCAAGATTGATGAATCAATACGGTCACGTGATGATATGAAGTGGATCATATCATTTGTGATTGGTTGGTGCATGTGTTGCATCAACATCGGAGGAGATGGAATGGAATGCGCAAGGCAAAGGTATAACCAATAGGGCATTTTATTTCACCGATCATAGGTGTGTAGAGAAGTTTATGACCGGGTTTAGGATAGATGGCCGTACTATCAAGAGGGGCAAACTTGTTTGCATATCGGTCATCTAGTGCCACTCGAGTGATCTAACTTTGCATCGTTGCTAGGATCGAGTGGCGTGGTGAATTGAGTGATTAACTCCTTTGAAAAATGTTTGTGAAAAGCTAACACACTTGCACAAGATGGTGATCACTTGGCGGTGTTAGCACATTTGCAAAGGAGAAGAAGTTGGTAAAGAAAAGGAGTTGAAAGCGCTGGTCACGGGGTGACCGGACGTGTCCGACATAGCGACCGGATGCGTTCGGTATTTACCCAGGCGCGGACAAGCAGACATGACTGGACACATTTGGTATTGCGACCGAACGCGTCCGGTATTTGGCCTAGTCTTGAGCAGTGGATGCAGTTGTGACCGGACTCACGGGAGCGTCTGATCGGCTGTGACCTGATGCGTCATATCATAGTCAGGACCTTTCGATGTAGTTTTTCGACGTGACCGGACACTCAGTACTTCGATTGACCTGACGCTGAGCGTCGCGTCCTGTCATTGGAGGAGATGCTTCAGAAGGTAATTTCCTCATTGACCTTGCACAGTTTATGTTTACCCTAAAAAATGTTTGTGCTTGTATACACTATTTTTGTTGTCACTTGAATTAGGGATGCATTAGAAAATTCCTGGCCTTCATACCAGTGTTAAATGAAGCCATTTTTGTACAATTACAAATTACAACACAAAATGGGTCAATGGTTGGTTGGTAATATTAGATGATCATTACCTGCTATGGCCCATAGGCTTGAGATTTGAGAACAGATAGAACATGTGAACAACATAGGTTGCAATCATGATATTACTCTTGTTTACAAATGTCTACAATTTTGTTGCCATCTATTCTTTGTGATCATAACTCTGCTAACTACTTTGTGTCTATGCATAAAATCTATCCAGATTGGCCTCCGATCTTGAGCACATCTCCTATACTATAGGCGCCTGAAATCGGGATCGATTTCAGGCGCTGCTCTCCACAATTCCACATGTTGCCTCTAGATTTGGGTTCGGGGTGGGTTTTTGGGGTCGGCTGTACGCCTATTGAAAGGGGTTTAGGGGAGGAGGCTGGTCAGGTGGAGGAAGCGGGTGCAGGGGTGGAGTAGCGCAGGCAGCAGTGGATCAATTTGATATGTTTGCATTTTCAATCATTCAACTTCCGATCCTGAGTAGTGATGAGTAACATGAATTGTGTTTAGCTTAAAAATCATATGACATTATGATGACAACCAGTGGCCAGGTTTCTTTAACAAATTTGAGACGTTTTCTAATTGGCACATCAAACTTAAAGTTCAATTATGTTTGCTTCGTGTTTTGTTTTAACATGATATCTCAAATGTTTTCCCTCCTTTGAGTATCGTCAATATTCACTAATCTGGTGTAGTGATGATCTTCTATATCTTCTGGAACATACCTTGTGTAGATAGATACATTCAATTGATAATGCAAGAGATGTTCTGTTGTGCTTCCTTTTAGTTGGCTCCTAATGATTACTACTCTCCTTTTCTTCTTCCTTCCACAATATGATTACTGATGTCATAAAAATGTTGTTTTTTATTGTATCTTTATTTCTATTTGTTGCAGAACAATCCTGGATGTGATTTTGTCAAGACATGGCAATTCATGGACAAGTTTACTCGCATAGTTTCAGAGCACAAGTAGAAAGGCCTCTTATACTCTATTGTAGTAACCATCTTCTTATTTATCCACCAAGGAGATTGGAAGGTCCATCTTTGTTTTGAGAGAAGATGTGATGCCCAATCCATGCAATGTTTTTTCTCTTTTGCTGGGATGTTAGTTTGACAAATAAAATTGCTGACAAATATGGCTATTTCTTTCAGAAATGCTATATAATACACATGTGTTTTAGCAAAAAAAAACACATGGATTTTTTCTCCCTCTCTCTTTTCAACTGTCTTCTCGGCCTCAAGGACGACTTCTTCATGCACTCCCGCAGCAGCGTGACCAACTCGGCTCCCACGGAGGACCAGCGCGCCAGCCAGCCGAAGGACCACCCGTCCTATACACGTATACGCGTGCGGCCGGAGGACCGCCCGTCGGACGTCCGATTTGTCCTTTTGTCCTTGCATAGAAAAAAATTGTTTCTTATGATCTGTGGATCTGTGATCTTGTGATTGTCTGGAGGTAGAAGAAAGATGGAGGCTGTTGGATCTTAATTCTATGGTGAAAAAAATTCATATGTTGAAACAGCATAAAACACATGGTTGTGTAGCAGACAGACTCATTTTTTTGCGAGATTTCTCTCCCTGTCAGTTTGGTGCCTCTCACCCTTGGCGTCCCATCCCCACGACGGCGCCCGGATCCGCATTTAAGCGCTTCCCAAACCCTAGTTATTAGGACGGACCGGAGATCGAACCCGGTGGGTTGCGGTTTCGTTCACTTTGGTCCAACCGTTTAGAACCGGTTGAACCGCCGGTTCAATTGTTTTGGACCGAACGAATTGAACCGGCCACAAAAACCTCGGAACCGGTATATATATATGCTATAATTAATAATTAACAAATGATAAACAACACAAATTTAATTGCACAACTATAAGGTTCATACATATGTATATACATAATGATATGTTCTTAATTCAAATTAGCAACATATGATTGATCATATATACAAATAAACTAATAAAAACACAATTATATAACCACCTTTGAAATAATCTAGCCACAAGTCCACAACATGTACTCCAAAATCAACATTTGTCTTTTGACGGTTCTTAACTCAAATGATCAAATTGTTAAAAGATAATAAACAACAACATCCCATAATGCATCGTAGCAAGATAGACCTTAACTTGACAGGTTCTAAAAAAGGATTTAAATAGTAATTCAAATATTCAGTGTTGGAAAATAATCTCAATGCTGAGATAAAGTGTACCATTGTGAAGAGCTCGTCGAGATAATCAAAATAGATATATTATTTATATATTTTAGAGCGAGAATGAAAAAGATATTAAAATTTGAAATTAATAAAAAAGCATCCAAAGTCAATCAATAACAAAAACATAAAGCACGGAGCCTGGCAGGCAAGTACTATACGCACGCACACAGCACGCTCAAACACGCTAGGCCGGCAGACGGCAGTAGCAGAAAGGCCCAGGCCCAGCGCCAGTTGCTCACGCGGGATATCAGCAGGAAGCAGCACGCGCACCACCAAACGAGATTACCAAACCGGGACGGTTCGGACAGAACCGGCCGGTTCACCGGTTCCGTAAAAAACCAGTCGGTTCACCGGTTTTTAGCGGTTCCATTGCATAGATACTCTTTTAAATGAACCGGACTGGTCTAGTTCTGATTCGATCTTTTAGTGGTCGAACCGCCAGTCCAATCTGATCCTAGTAACTGGGCTTCCCAGCCCCCACCCACTGCCCAAGCGCCCCCTCCAGCCTCCGCCTCCCAGCCCATGTCCTCATTGCCGGCCGCTTGCCGGTCTCCAGGAGGCCCCGAGCAACCCCGCCTCCGTTCCCTGATGGTGGGCTCGATCGAGCTGCCGCTCCAGGAGTCAACGACCTCCCCTCCTCCTGCTGCCCCACAGCGCAGGGTGCGCTTCGCCATTACTCCTCCCCCAACCACCAGCTCCTTTATTGCTTCGCCATTACCCCCACCACCCAGCAAATCCTGCCTCAGATCCACGGCCGCCCGCGCGAGGGAGAGCGCCTCAGGCTGCACTTATGGTGGCACACCTTCCCAAGGCAGCCTTGACGCGACGGAGGACTCCAGCGCCGGGTGGCCATGCCCGGTCACCTCACGCATCCAGAGATCGATGAAGATGGTTGGACAAAGGTACTACGGAAAAGGCGTTCAGCTCAGGCGAATTCAAGCCCACCAGCGCCCCGCACACCATCGCTGTGCTCTGCACTTCTGGAGTCACTCAGAGGGAGGTGCCTCCGGTGCCTCGCTGGCGGCCACAGGGCGGCAGACTGCAGGGAGCCGGTCCGTTGCATCAACTGCAGACGAATTGGCCATAAAGCCAGCGACTGCAGCAGAGCTTCACATCCCCCGTCCGGCCACGACACAGCTGCAGCACACCCATCTGACGACACAGCTGGTCCTAGAAGGCGACGTCGTTGTTTCCCGTCATCGACCAGAGAACTTCCTCGCCATCTTCAAGTACCCCCACCACCGAGATGCTGCGGTGACCAAGGAGAAACTTCCGGTGCGCAACCTCGACTTCCGCATCTGGCCATGGCGGATAGAAGCCTATGGAGACCACTGTGAGCTGCGCCATCACGTGCGTCTCTGCCTGGACGGAGTTCCAGTCGACGCTTGGAACGAGAGCATCGCTAAGCGGGTGGTGGCGAGAGCGTGCGACATCGACTAGGTGGAGCAGCAGTCGGTGGACCGGGAGGACACCAGGGTGCTATGCCTCTGGGCGTGGACCTACAATCCCTCCGATATCTCCAAGGTAACCTGGTTGACCATAACTGACAATACAGTGCTTGTTCATGACGGCGCAGTCCCCCCTCATGGCCGACGCGGGCTAACCTTCAGCATCATCGTGCACCTCGACCTGCTTGAGCTGCCCCCCGACAGTCATGGCCGGGTGGAAACCAAGGACTTCACTTGGCACTTTGGGGTCATCGATGGCGAACGCACGCCGCGTGAACGCCAAGAGCCACCGCCACCAGAACCCAGGTGCCAGCATCGCCAGGACGACGACGACGACGAGCGCCGTGGCCGTCGCAAAAAGAGTGACCACTGGGGGTCACGTCTGCTCCGGAGCCTCTCTCGTGCCCCGGAGCGAGCAAGAGAGAGGGAACGGTCAGAGTCACGACATGGCCGTCGCGACAAATCGACTGCTCCAGGGGAACGACGCAGACACGGCCACGACAACAATGGTGCCAGGAGCAGGACTCCACCACGCAACACACGCGCAGATCGCCGGAACGAGGATGACGGCGTCCAGAGCGGGTCACCACCTCGCCGGCCGCACTCAACGACGACATCAGCAGCAGTTCTCCATCAATTCGCAGATCGCCATCACGCCGTTCGCGCCCTGCTCCTCGTGGGCGCACCAGGAGCGAATCTCCACCGCACCACACACGCCCAGCTCCTGGCCACGACGATGAAGGCACCCAGAATGAGTCTTCACCTGGCCGAGCGCGTTCAACTCTCGAAGCCCCGCCCCCAGCAACCTCCAACGGCGCTTCAAGCAAGGGGGCTGACCCCGGCGCTGTGCTCGTGGGGTCTCCAGGGACAACAAGCAGGACGGCCACGACAGCACCCTCTGGTGAACATGACGTCCTGCCGCGGGACAAAACATTGCTGTCCGCCGGTCATGGCGTCCTGGAGCAGGGCGCAGCATCACCGACCACCGTCCACGGCGTCCCGGCGTAGGGCACAGCAACACCGACCTCCGGCCACCAGGGACCGACTTCTGAGGGCGGGAGCGCTCTGCAAGTCCCACTCCCACTCATGGCCACGCCCCCTGCTTCGCCGGCGACTCCAGCAATCTCCATCCGTGGCCGCACAAGGGAGCGTCAGTACGGGCGCCGCGACAGTGGCCGAAATCTCTCCCCGCCCAGAAGCTCGCCCAAGACGCCGACAAATGACGGTGACCAGCGGCAAATTTAGACTAAACTGCTGTCAGGATCGTACAGATTCATGAACTCAATCTGATGGTCGTAGCTGGCCGGAATACGCGAGGTTCCATTTATTTGTACAAAGTTATCGGGGTCACATGACCCCGACACATGCACTGTGGCTTCGCCGCTGACGGTGACATCTGCATCATCAGCCACAGGTGCTACACTCGCGCAGACCTGACGACGACAACAGTGGATCCCGCATCCACCAGCAGTAACATGTTCAACTGCAAGTTTTGACTGTCCTTCACCCCCCATACTACACAGGTTGTCATCCCCAACCAGTGGCGACAGCAGGGACGAGGCTGCACAACGTTCTGCCACAACTACGGCATTCAGGCGATCTCCTCGCTCCCACCAGGCCGCGTCTGGTACCCGATTCAGAAGGTACCGCCCAAATTGCGTCTATGTCAGGCGTAATTGTCGCAGGCAGCGCACGGCGTCTCCAGTAGCCCAACAGAACACGACGGCCAACTTCATCAGCACAGTCACACTGCAGACTGCAGTGCCGCTGCTCCAAGGGCCACCCCAGCGAACGAGGACAGTCAGACGCAGGAACAAGCGGTCTTCAGCCCCCCTGCGCAAAAAGTGCGCATCGCAACAGCATCTTGGCCGCGGGGCGATGCGCAAGCGAAGGCGCGCCAAGTTCTGATGAAAAAACCTGGCTTCATGGAGGACCGTTCGCTGGACGACGCGCTGATGGGCTACTTCACGCTGTTCGGCGGTCCACTTTCAGGGACGGTGATCCAGGCGTTGACTGCCCTTTGTGGCCTCGGCGACGACTCTGGGGCAGGCTGCTCCCAGGCTTAGGCTTCATAGTTCGGTGCAAGGGCTACATTATGTAACTCATGTCAAGCTCCAACCATTTGTATCTTGAGTTCAGTAGGTGTGTCGTCATCTCCAGTTATGTATCGGCTATGAAGGATGCAGTGGTGACGGCTAGGGGCCAAAAATAACCAAAGCGCTCTCCACTCCTTCAGGGTCACCATGTCATCTTCAGTTGTTATTCTACTATGTCTGCAACAAAGCTACTGCCATCAGCGCTGCTAGCTACCTGTTGTAAGCTTCGGTTTGGAAATACTACTGTGATCGGCTGCAGCCAGTTTACTCACTTCAATGTGTCTGTTCTTCCCTTGCAGTTTCTGCACAGGCTGTTATTTGGGGTAAATCTTGTTTTCAATGACACAACGTAATTGCAACATCCTGTGCTGGAACGTGAGAGGCCTCAATGATGTGGTGAGGCAAGATACAGTGAGCTTGCTAGTTAGAGACAACCTCCACCATCGTGTGTTTGCAGAAGACGAAGATGCAAAATTTGGATCAAGGTGTTGTCAGACGTACTGTTGGGGCTAAGTTCGCCAACACTTTTGTGGTACTACCAGCCATTCAGACACGAGGTGGCATTCTTATTGCAGTCAATGAGGATTACTTCCAGCTCTCCGACCAACATTCATCTACACATGCAGTGACTGCAACAGTCACCATGAGGGCAGATGGAACCAAATGGCAAATTACGGTTGTATATGGACGCCGAGAAATTACAATTTCTATAGGAGCTTGCAGCTATTCCTTTCCCGGCCCATGGGAGATGGCTCATCCTAGGAGATTTTAATCTCATCTACCAGGCAGAAGACAAAAACAACTCCAATCTAAACCGTCACCTCATGGCCTCCTTCAAAGCGGTCATCGACAACCTGAACCTAAAAGAGATAGGCCTCAACGGACATCATTTCACCTGGAGCAACGAGCAAGACAATCCAACATTAACAAGAATCGACAGATTTTTTTGCACCCCTGATTGGGAATTAACCTTCCCGACATGCTTTCTCCACTCTTTGCCTTCTCTCATGTCCGATCACACCCCGCTACTCCTGCAGGGAGAACTTGAGCACTACCACAACCGGACCTTCCGCTTTGAAAATTTTTGGGTCAAGATGGATGGTTTCAGAGACTTGGTGGAACAAGTCTGGAGTAAACCTGTGCACTCTTCTTTACCCATCAAACGGTTGCACACAAAATTAGCACGAGTGGCCAAAGGCCCTAAGCGGTGGCGCAAGGAGAAGGTTGGGGACACACGGCTGCAGCTGGCCATCGTCAAAGAGGTGCTGCTACAACTTGAGGCAGCGCAGGAATTTAGGACACTCACACAGCAGGAACTCGACCTGCGCCGACGTCTAAAAATCAGAAGCACCGGCTTAGCTGCCATTGAAAAGTCGAGGATTAAACAGCGGGCTAGGCTCACATACATCCACAACGGAGATGTAAATACAAAATTCTTCCACATTCGGGCCAGCACAAGATTGAGGAAGAATTATATCCATTGTCTGCACACAGATAGGAGGGTGGCGACTACGCACAATGACAAAGAAAAAATCATCGCGGATTACTTTTCAGCACACATGGGCTCACATACACCGAGGTCAGTGACGTTCAGCTGGTCGGCACTCGGTTATGTCCCAAGGGATTTATCAGCTCTCGAGGCCCCGTTCACGCGAGAAGAGATCAAAGAGACAATAAAGTCGATGCCACCTGACAAGGCGCCGGGCCCAGATGGTTTCACGGGTGCCTTCTTCAAAGCCTACTGGGACATCATCAAAGACGATGTTACTGTTGCGATGAACAGCCTGTACATGCTAAACTCCCAAGGCTTTGAGCTCCTAAATACGGCAAACATCATCCTACTCCCAAAGAAAAGGGACGCCTTGCGAGTTACAGATTTTCGCCCAATCAGTCTCATTCATAGCATAGCGAAGATTTTTACCAAGTATTTGCAAACAGGTTGGTGCCGCTGCTAGACTCCTTAGTTTCGAAATGCCAAAGCACATTCATCAAAAGGAGGAGCATCCACGACAACTTCCTATATGTTCAAAACACAGTATGGGCAATGCAAAAGATGAAGCTGCCCACGCTGTTCCTGAAACTTGACATACACAAGGCCTTCGATACGGTCAGCTGGAGCTACCTTCTGGAGGTATTACAGGCCTTAGGGTTCGGACCACGCTGGCAGGAGTGGGTATCGATCCTTTTCCGCATGATGTCGTCGAGAGTGCTGCTAAATGGACAGCAGGGCCCAGCTTTCAGTCACAACAGAGGGGTTCAACAGGGCGACCCTCTATCGCCCATGTTGTTCATTCTCGCTATGGACCCGCTTCAACGCGCTGCTAGACATGGCAACAAAGCAAGGCGTCCTCTCTGCTCTTCCTCTATCTATGGCCAGGTGGAGGACCTCCATGTATGCTGACGATGCGGCTATCTTCATTAACCCGATCAAGGACGACTTGGACACCATCACGACGATCCTCTAGGAATTTGGTAGGGTCTCAGGCTTACATATAAATCTGCAAAAGAGTTCCGTCCACCCGATCAGATGCCAAGACATCGATCTAGACCATGTGTTAGCCTCCTTTGCAGGGGCAAGAGAATCCTTCCCGTGCCGCTACTTGGGATTGCAGCTACATACGAGATCCCTGCAAAAGGTCCATGTGCAACCGCTCATTGAACGCATAGGGCAGAGGCTACCTGGTTGGAAAGGTAGAATGCTCAACAGAGCGAGCAGACTTACTTTGGTCACCTCAGTGCTATCCTCGATGCCTACCTATCACCTCACTATGTTCCTTCTGGCGGTATGGGCAAGAAAGCAAATTGACAAAATCAGAAGTTCATTCTTTTGGAAAGGTGATGTGAACGCCAACGGAGGGCATTGCTTGGTAAATTGGCCGGCAGTCTGCATGCCAAAAGATTTGGGAGGGTTGGGGGTGCCAAACTTGAAAAAATTTGGAAGAGCCTTGTGCCTACGTTGGTTGTGGCAGGAGTGGGTTCATGACTCAAAACCTTGGGTAGGGACGACACTGTCGTGCAATGACCTAGACCGTTTGTTCTTCAACACCTCAACAACGATAACAATTGGGAATGGTAACAAGGCACGTTTTTGGCATCACAATTGGCTAGACGGTGAAGCTCCAAGATACCTAGCGCCCCATCTTTTCTAGCTAGTGAGCCAAAAGAATAGGAAGGTTTGTCAGGAACTACAAAATGGTAATTGGATCCGCTCCCTCAGGACGCGAATCACAACATCCGTTCAGATACAAGAATTTGTCGCCCTCTGGTTCAGGATTCAGGAAGTGCAGCTCACGCCCAATGTGCAGGACTCCATAGTGTGGAGATGGACGGCTGATGGAAACTACTCCACACGTTCGGCATATAACATACAGTTCCAAGGTTCACACTGCAAGTTCCAAGCTGATCTCATTTGGAAAGCAAGGGCGGAAAATAAATGCAAGATACATGCCTGGTTACTAATGCACAACAAAATCCTCACGGCGGATAACTTGCAAAAGAGAGGGTGGCCACATCATGAGCATTGCGTCTTGTGCAATGGACCTTTAGAAACAGGACTGTATCTATCTTTGCTATGCCCCTTCACTAAAGTCGTATGGAATCAGGTGTTATCTTGGGAAAACTTTGATGTGCAACTGCCCCAACAAGATCCCTAGTGCCTGGCAACCTGGCGGGAGGAGGTGGCGAGCAAGGTGCCAAATGGCCCCGTTCGGCTTGCTGAAACTGGCTGAAAATACTGTTCTGACTGAATTGTTGTGAGAGAAATACACTGTTCCGGCTGAAAAAACAAGCCGAACAAGCCGGTTTCAAAGCAAGAACGCCGAACATTTAATGGAGTGCTCATTTATGTTGTGTGGAACCTGTGGAAGAAAAGAAATAGGAGAATTTTCGAAAACGAGCACAAAACATCGGAACAGGTCACCTATCTGGCCAATGAAGATATTGTTCAGAGACGTAGGGCCATGTGTAGTGCGGGCTAAATCAACAAGCGCATGAGCGGTGGCTTCTGTGTGTTGGCTCTATGGCCAGTGTTTGAGTTGGTCCTATAAGCAGGTTTCTTGGCACCATTGGTGCCTGTATATAAAACTCTATTTCCTTCTTAATTGAGCGGCAAAGCTCCTGCCTTTACTTTCAAAAAAAAAAAGTTTGGTTCTAAGAACAGTAAACAGTTCCTGACTCGGGCTGACTGACGTGCAGCTTACCGAATTATGTTTCCTTGGGAATGAAAATTTGTTAAGAGCTAATCAAATATTTTTTCTTGTGTATGGGTTTACACTTTACAGTTTGAATCGATCATGTAATCATGTTGAATATATTTTCATGTGCTATGGCCTATGGGCCACATTCCCATTTCCGGACCAGTTATTTTCTGCAGTCACTTTGCAAGTCTGCAGTCACATTCCCACACATTATTTTTTTTCATGCAGTGGACTGCTCTGGGAGTGGAAGCAAGAATACCAGAATCATAAGGTGAAACTCCCACACATACCAATACGGCAGTATCAAATTGTCCGTACGGGTTGTCTACTGTACAATGTACATGTATAGCAGCTCGTATATGCTGTGTACTTTACACGGCTCTTGATCCACAGGACTACAAGAGAGCCGAAATGCCTACCTGTCTAAACTCTCTAGAGCTCAACTCTCTGCTCGGTACAAACCGTCCCCTTTTTTCTACGCTATACAAAAGTGAAGCAAATATCGTCGAAATCGCAGCAGATTATCTGTTGAATATATTGCTCAAATCATGTGTGCAGCTTGATGCCTGGCAGCAACTCCTCGCTGGAGGAAACCTAAGGTTTACCGGCCAAGTTCTCCAAGCAAACGTCACAGAGAAGTCAGGCCAGCCCTTTCAGTGCCTGAAATGCATCTGGGCATCAGAATCCAGGGCCATTCGTTCGTCCTGAACTTGGCTGCAAGTGAAGTTAGTTACCTCAGAGCTTCCGAGTCGTGCTGCCGTAGAGGCTGGTTCTCGTTGTTCTGGCTGTCCAGCGGCATGTACTGGGACATGATGGACATGATCTCCGAGTCCATGTACGACTGCAACACGACGGCAAAGAGTTTTCAGTTGATCGAGTTGCCATCTGCACAAACGCTTCTGCATTCTACGGCGTTCACCGCTGAACCATGTATCCTTTTCAGATGGACTTACCCTGAGCCTGTACTTGTAGAAAGCGTAGCCGGCGACCCCAATGCCTACTACGCACGCCACGGCCGCGATGGTAATGAACCAGCCGAGCTTCGACATGTTGTTAGCTGCGTGACAGGTCCAGAAAAAAGTTGGTCGTCAGACCTTCAGATGGCAGATGCATAGCTGGTCTGAACTCTGAATTGTGATCTACATGTAGGTCGCTGTGGCTGGCATATGTATGTATCTCACTCACCTATGCAGACGTCCTCGCCGCGGATGTAGAGCTGGTTGCCCTTGCACTTGCACTCGTAGTTGCCCCACGTGTTCTTGCACTGGCAGTCCGGGCATGTGCACGCCAGCTTCTCCCTGCACTCGTCCAGGTCTGGATGACGACATGGATCGGAGCATCTCGATTAGTTCAGTGATTCTGCCCGTCCTGCTGCTAAAGCCGTCAATGGTTCGGGATGGGGCGAAAGGACGTAGAGGGATTTTACCTTCACATTTGTGGCCATCGCCGTGGAACCCCGACGGGCACCGGCACCCGGTCAGCGCGGTCTCCTGCGATGATCACCGGCGAGCACGCGGTTAGCGACGACGGCCGTCAACGGAGAAGATCGTGTGAGCAAATGGTGGAGATGGGCTGTGTGTACTGTTACATACCGTGCAGGCGGAGAAAGTCTGTTGCCCTCTCGTCTCCGACCAGCACCCGCCGTTGTTCAGAGCGCACCTGCCCGGCCCAATAGCTGAAGCACACACACAGACACAGTGCAGCCAGATGAGGCACACGGCGCAGCGGCATGGTATAAGAGCTTGTTCAGTGCCGTGTTGGCGTGTTCAGACGAAGAAGACCATCTTACGTTTGCAGTGAGTGTAGCCGTCGCCCTCGTAGCGGACGCCGTTCACCACGGGGCACTCGCACACCCGGCCCCGGTACGTGTCCTGGCAGGCGGTCACGTTGGTGGCCTCGTCGCGCCAGCACCCGCCGTTCCTGTGCAGGCACTCGTTCGTCTCGATGTCTGAAGAGATCAGGGAGAGAGAAAATGGTTGTTCAGATTTCACAGGAACATCCATTGTGCAAACAGCACTTGGGGCATCAGAAGTGGCCTATATCTATATACCATGGCTGAGGCAGACGCGGGGCTCCGTCCCCTCCTTGAAGCCGGCGCACACGGCCTTGAGCACTGCCGTCCGCTCCAGTTTCCCTGCACGTCACAATTCGTGTTCATCAGTAATTCATCACTGCACATCACAGTTTACATCGAAGCAAGCCAAGCATATGCAGCAGCACCAACCTCTGTACTGAACGTTGTTGATGACCAGGGTCGGCAAAATGGTGACATCGCCTCGCGACCCGCTACCGATCTGGAACTACATTGCAGCATCATGACCATATTTTGTCAGATTCCAGACCAGAAGATAGATAGATTCAGAGTGCTAGGAAAGGAAGATCGTTGTGACTGACGAACCTGGTCTTCCTGCTCCTTGGACAGGACGGCGTTGTCGGCGTCGGCCTCGGGGTCGCCCATGCACTCCAGCACCTTCTTGAGATCCAAACCTGGTTCCATTCCAGAAAAGCCCACACGCACGATCAAGAAAAGCACGCCGAGATCATAGCCATCCATGGAGTATGCCGGCATCGGTAACTCACCGAGCGCGGTGACGACGTCCTCGGCGCAGGTCTTGGTGTACTTCTTCTCCTTCATGGAGCAGCGGATCTTGTAGTCCATGACGTAGTCCCACCACGCCCAGGGTCGGCCGGTGTCGTTGGCGACGCGGTGCACGCAGAGCTGCCTTAGGTTCTCCACCACCACGTCCTTCCCCTCGTAGCCCGCGCCGAAGTCCCCCTCCGGGTCCGGCGCGCAGTACCTGCCGTGGTTGATGCACTGCGACCGGCACTGCTGCGTCAGCCGGAACGCCTCGGGGCAGTACCAGGTGATGTAGTGCGGCGTGAAGCGCGCGTAGCCGCCGCGCTCCAGGAGCTGCGCGTGGCCGCGGAACCCGCGCACGAACGCCATCTGCTCGTCGCACCGGGGGCCGCACTCGTCGTTGCTGTTGGTCCACAGCTCGTACTCCACGCGCTCGTCCGGGTGCGGCATCGACTCCCGCCAGTCCAGCTTCACGATCACCTCCTCGCCCGCGCCGTCGTCGCCGGAGGCCACCTTCTGCGCCATCTTCTTCAGGGACTCGCCGAACGCGCGGTTCACCAGCGCCGACGGGATGTTGATCTTGTCGACGTACTCCGTGCCCGCCGACGCCTCGGGGCTGTCCATCGTCAGCAGCTGCTCGTCCACGCTGTCCGCGATCAGCACCGCCGCCGCGCCCGCGCGCTGCGCGTTCCACGCCTTGAGCGCGAAGTAGCAGTCTGCATCAGGCGGCAGCCAGGTGGACGTGCATCAGTTCACCGGTGAACGGCAGGTGAATTGGATATGGGGACCAATTCACCAACGAACGGCAACATTGTTTAAAAAAAACGAACGGCAACATTTTTTACTACTAATAAAAATGCTAGTGAACAGTTGATGCAGCTCCGAGTGCCATAATAGCTGGGCATTTGACTGAAGCTTCAGCTTTGGGAACGTTTTGGTTTGAAAGCAAGGGTGAAGCAGATTGGTCTCTGATTGAAAGAAGCTCCAGCCTTTGGCGCCGACGCAACTGCTGGTTGGTGCGGTGGTGGTGGAGGAGGAGTCGGATCAGGTGTGTGGCGGTCGTGGGATCAAGTGAGATGTGAGTTAACAATAATCAACAGGGCCAACTACTTTTGCCTCTATGTAATCAGTAATCAGAAATTTGAATGTTTGAAAATGTAAATGATGATGTAAACTGGGATGGGCCTTGAAGGCCTAGATCAATGAAAAACTAATCAGGTGGGGAGTCTTTCCCCCCGTTGACACTCAAACAAAAAAACAATAATCAACAGGAAGCGAGAGCAAGATGACTTCAATAATACTCCACTGGCCACTCTAAGCTAAGGGTTCTTTTCTGATGAATTGGTCATTGTTGCTAGGCAGGTTCATGGTAAGGTGGTATGTATCAGCATGTGCAAACCCAAAAAAAAAAAAAAAAAAATCAATAAGCAAAAACAGTATGTGAGCTGAATTGAACTACTTGGAATTATAGGCTCTGGGGATTGGGGGGAACTACTAGGTGGTGGGCGCAAAAAATCAATGGAGCAGCAAGAGCTGAATATGGCCCCTGCTTGCTGAACTGAATTATAGGCTTTGTTCGAAATCAATGGAGCAGCAAGAGCTGAGTATGGCCCCTGCTTGCTGAACTGAATTATAGGCCCCGTTCGCTGATTGGTTTCAACCACCAGCATCAGCCGGGCTTATCAGCCCAGAAACCAACCAGCGAACAGGCTGATAAAGCACTAAGAAATCTATGTGACACCTTAGTTGGAGATCAATCGGCATCAAATGATTAATATATTACATCACTTAGATGGCATGTCCACCCCTGTTGTTATTCACTGACCAACCATTCAGTTCTACCTTAATAATCACTGTCTAAACAATGCTTTCCGACAGAGTGTTAACATAACAAAAGAGGGAGTACTGACATCAATATGATATTGACAGGGATACTAATAAGCAAGAAAAGTCCTTTTCAACCCCTCAAAATATGAACAAAACTTTCGTTCCAAAAGGAAAAGAACAAAACTGTACTTCAAACTAGCACAACTCAAAAATTTCTGAATATTTTTGTTTGATGAAATGAAACTCAGTTTCAGAGGTAAACATAAGATGTGTTCATTCAGGAAATGAATGACGGAAATTTAAGATTTTTGATGAAGAGAAGAAGAAGCGGCGGTGCGTACCTCCACGGTCAAGCAGGAGGATGACCGGGCGGCGGGACTTGGCCTTGAACTTGGCGTCGAACTCGTCGCACCCCGTGGCCTTCTTGTCCGGGTAGATGACGACGCCGGTGAGCGTGCCGCCGTAATCGGGCACGCCGAAGTTGCCGATGGCCGCGTCGTGGTGGCCACGGATGTGCTCCGGCGCGAGCACCCGCACGCTGCTCTTCTCCACCACGAACCGCCCGCGCACGGCCACGATCAGCAGCTGCACCGCCACAGCCACAAGGCCGCCGGCGAGCCACGGCGCGCGCCCCGCCGCCATTTCCGACCGATCAACTGATGACCGTCCGGTCAGCCGCCAGTCTCCCTCTCCCCAACAGCTAGCGAGAGGAGGGAAGAAGAAGAAGACTTGAAGCAAGGAGGAGGATCAGAGGGCAATGAGTCGCGCCGTCTGGTGGCAACTAGCCACGCAAAGCCAGGGGTAGGTGGTTGCGAGAGGGGGAGAGAAATATATTGCAACTGACCGGTGCAGGTGCGGAAGAGCGAGGGAGAGAGGGGTGGATGGAGAGAGAGAGAGAGACGACGAGAAGACTTGGAGTTTTTTTTTTTTTTTTTGATTCAGAAGACTTGGAGTTGGGACGGCGGGATGACGATGGAGGAGGTTGCTTGAATCGTACAGAATGGTGTTTGGTCCGGGGCATTGGTGTCCAACATGTGACGTACAAGAGAAGGTGACAAGGAGAGGAGGAAGAGGAAGGTGCCTGTGAGAGGGAGCAGCCTACTGCTAGCAGGTGTGAGGCCATACAGATTACAGAGACTACTTCAAAGTAGGAGCATGACAGTGACAATTTTTCTGGGAAACATGAGGTGGTGGAAGAAGAGATCGAAACGAATCGGGTGTGAGAAGAATCTCAAAAGGGGAGAGTGAGAGGTAGAGGCTGTGGCTTGGAGTCTCTTGGACACTTTTGGCCGTGATATTTTTTTCCTTTTTCCCTTTTATTTTGAGAATTGAGAGCAGCACCCATTTTCCTCGTGTGCTATGAGAATGACAAAATCATCACCAAGCATGTCGCTATTGAGAGATTAGTCACTTGCCACTAAAATAATAAAAAAAAAAAACCTAAATTATTTCCTCCAAATTTGCATTATGTCCAGATAACCCCATAAACTAACATTTGATTCAATTTACCTTCTCTAGCTATTTCAGTTGATCCAATTTACACCTTCAAAAGTTTTTTCCCTTTCTGTTTCTCTATGTACAAAAAGTGTAAATTTGATGTAATTAGGACTAAACTTTAGTCTCAAGATCCAAATACCCCCTTAACATAGTTGTAGAGAAATCAGAGTAAATGATCCTCAGTGGGTTCCATCTATATAGGTTATATATATAGATTCCAACTCAGGGAACTCGCTGCGCGTTTTGTTTGCCGGAGATCAGTCCGTCTGGAAAAAACGAGCCTAAGAATAGTGTTTGGTTTGCGCCGTCGTGCCATGCCATCTGTCATCAAGTCATTCCATTTGTTTACTCCAGCAAGCCGCCAATCTCAAAGGCCGGTTCATATTATTAAACTCCATAAAGCTCCTAGAATCCACGGATTCTCAGCGCCCCTGGTACTGTTCACTGCCACGTGCTCTCCTGGAATTGGCGCAGGGAGAACGCTTCAACCGCTGTTCCATTTACTGTTCGTCAATCAGCCGTCTCCACGTGCCTCGTGCGTGTGCCTGCCTGCATTTGCTCTCTCAGGGTTCATTCAGGCCCGCACGTCTACGGCCTTTATTAGACAAAAAAAAAGGTAACTGGCAGCGCCTTGAAGCCTCCGCGTCGTCTTCTTTCACTCACCCAAAGCCCCAAAGAAAATCTGCGCCTCGCTGCCTCCGCCTCTCCTCTCGATCCTACTCTTCCTCTCCCGGCAAATCGTGTGTCCGGATGTCGCGCCAACCACTCGCCATCGCCACCTCGCGTGTTCCATCCGCACGGCCGGATCCCTGACGCTGCCACCGCTCTGCCTCCACGGTAGCCTTGAGATGGTGCCCTGTCTGCCTTTCGGCCGTCGCTTGGCCGTTATGTAATCAGTGGCCCGTTGTGCTACGCATCAGGTCGCCCTCTCTATCTTCCTCCCCTAGACGGAGCAGCAGTCGACTCCACATCCAGCCTCCTCGCCTTCTCCAACCAAGGTACTCTCCCCCTCTCTCTAATTTGGTTCGGCCTGTCTCTGATTGCTCCTACTGGGTGGACAGCGCATTCGAGGTGATAGCCATCCACCGCAGCACTTGGACGTCCCCGATGAGGTGTTTGGAGGAAAAAGAAATCGAGGGCACCACTGTCACGGCCGTGACGTCCGATTGCAGCCTGGCCTGGTCACGGAGGGCGATATCCTCCACGTTATTAGCGACTATTCCGGTCAACAGCTACAACACGATGTTTTCTATTCCTTTACATGAGTGCTACTTCAAACCACGTATCTACATGTGAAATGTGCAGGCTCCTAATGCGGGTGGGCAGATAGAGGAAACTTTTGGCAGCCTTCCTCACACGCCATCAATGTGTTTTCTGAAATTTAGGCCATGTCAATTTGCTATTTTCTGGGACATGGACTGGCCAACCTTTGTTTATGTTGTTGTATTATCTATCTTCTTGCAGAAATAAAATTTAACCAACATGTTTTTCCTGAAAAAAAATTGGTCTGCTTGTGTGTTCTGAACTTTCATTTTGATGATGCTTCATATCTGCATGTTTGATTCAGTTTTCAATGCATTTCAGGGGTTGTCAGTGTTGGTGACGATATTTTGAGTTCTGATGGCAATCCATGGCCCAGTGCCTCCATGCTACAAGCTTAATTAGAGCCCACAGATTAAGGATTTGTCAGCAGAAATTTAGACATCAACAGTCTCCATGGTACATGCTTAATCTAAAGCCCACATATTAAAGATTTGACAAATATAAATTTCCATATTCACATACATTGCGGACATGACCTAGCATCTCTTTTTCCAATTAATTTCTACTTGCATAGCACATAGTTATCTCCAATATTTTAGCAAATAATGGTTTCATCTGATTTCCTAGGTTGTGTCCATTGATTTTTTGCTTATGTACAACTCATCCATATGGTATGCAAGCCATCTTGCTACCAGTTACCTGCTCGGTCCATTGCTTCATGGTCTCACTTTGCCTGTTTAAAATCTCTGCAAAATATATTTTTGTGCTGGCACCTGTTGTTTAGCAAATTTGCGCGTTAAACTCTTGCAATTTTGATTTTGTGTCTTCTAGCTTACCTCTATTGGATAGTTGGTATTCGATGAACAACAGTTCGGTAAGTAACATTTTCCTGTTGTATATGTTGTAATTGTCGATCATGCATTTCTTAAATCTTTAACATAGGTTGCCATTTTTTGTGGTTACGCTCTTGGTTTATCTGATCCAAATGATTATTCAGTAAAAGGAAGACTTTTCCTTTTTTCTGTTTTGATGCACCTGAGATAGCTACATATCTGGCCTGTAGTAGTCTGAGATAACTTATGTAGTTTTGTATTACCAAAATACTCAGCAGAAAGATAGTTTTGTGTTGGACAATTGTACATCATTTTTCTAAGGAAGGGTGTGGCCTCAAATGGCATCTACAATATTGTTGCCAAGCCAAACGCTACTTGCATCAGGCATCGTCATGCCTTCCTATGGTACTACATTTACCTACACTTTATATTCATTTTCTGTTCTGAGCAAATATAATTTATCTCATAACACCTTATGATACAATTTAATTAGAATTAGTTACTATGAGTTCTGTCATGGATCTAGCTGTGGAACAGAACAGGTTATCAACCATGCATTTTTTAGGCATGGAGCAAGGCTGCATGATCCTTTTTTTTTGTCCAACTAATATAAAAGAAATTTTAAAAATACATAGTGATTTGGTTTCTCATTCACTAATCTAATAATTATGGTGCTTCCTGCTTTGTGCCTCATTAGGACGAAATCAGACATGGTGCTTTGTGCCTCATTAGGACGAAATCAGACATGGATATTGACTAGCTGTACACGCTCATTTTAGGAATTGATTAGATGCAATTTAATGTAATAACATTAGTGACTGACCTGCGGAATCCAATCCTTGATAAAAGGTACAGTTTGTGTGCTATGACCACTTCAGAGTTATCATTGACTCATTCTTTCTCTTTTATGAAACTGTTCTTACAACGCTAACCTTTTTTCCTTGAATAGTGAATGAAATTTCTGCAGACTAACCTCATTAACAAGGTACTCAATTTTGCACGAGAGGATACAAGTCATTGTCAGATGGGACCTGGAACTAATGGCTTACCAGGTCGCTTGATGAAGAATAGACACGGTCTTATATGATGTTTTTGCCAACACTCAGTCCAAGAGTAACCACATTTCCTGTAATCTTCATCTAAATTATACAATGGACTAATGTCTCTGTAGTTTATTTATGTTTAATTTAGTGTTCTGCATTGCAAATTTTATTTTCTACTGTTTTATACGCCACCCTATTGTATCGCTGGGACTATATAAATATAGTCAATTATTCATAATGGTTGTGTAAAGCATAGATGAATTAGTCTTATCACATATGCAGTCAAGTGCTTAATCGGTCTTGCATGCACATTTGAACAGCCTGCTAGCTTCCGCTTGCTGCCATTAGCGCGAAGCCAAAACGGGCGCGGCGAAGCGCGCCCACCGTCCTAGTTCCATACAAATGTGACGGACGAACCGACTCTCCATGCATACAAAGGAAACCTATGCCGGATGAAGTTAACTCTCAAACAAAATACGGTTACGAATTGAAATACGCTCGATTCACGCTATTTTATATTTACCTTGCATTACTTGTTTTTACATATTGTAATTTCCGACAATTGACTTGGAACACTACCTGTCCTTTTCTACAAAGAAGAACCTACATATACGGGCGTTGGCTATAAATAACCACCGGCTGTGACACGCATGCTCAGACTTTCTTGCAATGTTGTGACGTTTCATCTCTATCGTCCTTCGCTCTGTTCGTTTGGGTTTGTTTGGCTTATAAGCTATGACTGAAAGTACTGTTGACTGATTTGGTGCGAGAGAAAAATACTGTTCGTTGGCTGATAAGCCAAATACGACCAAGCGAACAGACTGCTTATTTGTGGTGCGGAATATATGCGACGATATTTTAGATGTGACATTAGCTCTCGCCCTAACCAGAATTAACAACGCGATGTGTACATCACGCGACAGAACGCAACAAAACAGTTCAGTCGCTGGGTGTTTCTTGTTGCAAGCGTGTGCTGCACCACACGATTGCTTGCAAGAAAGATCTC